CAGGTAGCAGGATGCCTCAGCTAAAAAAAACAAACAAAAAAAAAAAACAAACAAACAAAAAAGCAAAGACCAGAGCCTAGCCAAATATTCCTACTTGCCCCAGAGAACGGCTTCTTGCCCGCCTGGTGAAGATGCAGGATCAGGCTCATCACGAAAGCAGCAGTGGCCTCACTATAGATAACGCACTACAGAAAAGTTCAGGAGTACTAATGGAGCTTCGATAAACCAAGCAATTGGGGTCTAAAAAAATGTGAGGTGGCCATGCCTAACAAGCAGTTTTATGACTATGTGCTCACACTTTAGTGACCCCATTAGACTGCAGGGTTCGTAGGGGCAGAGACCTTACCTTTTTTTTTTTTTAACATACCCCCAGGACATAGCACAGTCTAGGACCTGGGACAGAAAAGAACTTAATAAATATTTAAGGAGAAATGGTGGTAACTGATCTCCCGGAGAACATGTATCTATTGCACTCAGTAGGGTGTGCCTGTAAAATCGAGGCTTTCTAAAGTGTGGGCTGAGACCTCTAGTGGTGGTCGGCAGCTCACTAAAAGAAGAAGTCAAAATCTGAACAAGGGCGGATTGGAAATGGCCAAACACCAGGACACAGGTTATGGCCGGACATGAGTGAAACAAGTGAGTGCTAGGATAGAGCAACGAGCTACTGAAGAAGTTTAAAAATGAAACGTAAAATACGCCCAAAGACGACGACAAAAATGCAGTCGGTTTATCTGAATGTGATACATATGAAGAAAGTAGCTGTTCCCTAACATTTTAAAGTACAAAAAAAGTCTAGTTCATAATCCTCTCATAGAACCACACTTAGTTTAATTTTTAAATTTAACATAAATGGTTAATATTCTAAAATACATTGCTATCTGAGAAATTTTAAAAGAATAAAATGAATTTTAGAAAAAAAATAATAAATCACCCCTCTATAAATTCTAAGCATGGAAGCTAGGAAGGAAACAGTCCCTCTATATTAAATTCACTGACTTCTTCTCAAAGATAGTCAACTCTTAGGGTTGTCTGCCAGTCACCTGCAATATCCGAGAAATTGCAGATCTCATTTTGGTTGAGTGTTGGTTATGCTGGAGAGGCACCAGTCTCAAAATTACACTGAGTCTCATACTTAAAGAACAAGTCTCCATGATCTTTTTTCTCAGTAGGGAATCTACTCAATTCACACCACAGTTCAAGGTCTTACTAGCCGGGTCAACTTGAGCAAATTACTTAACCTCCCCGTATCTCACTTTCCTTCTTTATAAAATAGGAATGACAGTATCTCCTTAAAGCTATGAAAAGTAGATTCATTATGTTTTCAAAGAACCTAGAGTAGTGTCACATACCTAGTAAGGAATCAAGTATCTGTTAATTATTACAATTAATGAGCTCAAATGATCTAGAATGACCCAAGTAAGCCAACAATCATTTGATGTCTTTAACAAGAGCAACAAACAGGCATATTTATTTTAGAAAGAGCTTTCATGATTCTACAATACTCTCTTAAATGCAACATTGTTCTTGGTATATTAACTGGAAAATCATCATACTTGAGATTATGAATATTTAAAATACCCTAAAAATAAGTAGTTGCCACAGAAATCCTTAACCACAAGCCCTACTCACTTCAGAACTGAAAAACATAAAGAGGGGACTATTTTTTTATTTATAAAAGTTATAATTTTGCAAAGACTCAGAAACAGCTGTGAGCATATGGACGAAATGTTCTTGCAAGAAAGAACTCAGTGGAGGAAAAAATAATTTATCTTATCATACATAAAATTCTTTAAAAATTGATAAAACCTATGAGACTTCTGAAGTTGTATGGTCAACTTTATGGTGGAAATGGGAGAGTTTAGATTAAATATGAGACTAGTGGGAGTTGCACAACGGGACATGGGAGTTGCAACACCTGAACAATGGAAAATTGTGCTTTATTAGATGCATCAAAGAGAACATAAACTCCATTTCCCTCAAACTTTCCTCTCCACCTATGGGAGGGGGTGGGTGGGGAGACAAGCCATCCACCCAACCATCCACTAGCGATCCATTAGATTGCTGAACAGTGTTATTCACAGAGACAACTCCTTCCTTCAAAGCATGAAGTCCATCCTACAGAAAGTGAAAATAAATATAGCTTTCTAAAAATAAGATCAACATGAGAGATACCAAGAACAAAATCTTGGAAAAAAATGTTTCTCACAAC